AATAAATAAGCATAATTGATTTCTATTGATAATCATCGTCATCATCATCACCATCTTGTCCAACAACACAAAAACAAATTAAAATTTATATTCTATAAGAAGTGAGTTAAATATGTTAAAAAATTATGCGAAACTTAGAAAAATTTTAGGGTCAAACTAAAATAAACAATTTTGTAATCATGAATTCATCATATGATACAAGTACATTTTTTTGTAAGGAGTCGTTCCTTCTCTCGAAGTTACACGACTAATTTGTTGGGTTTCTTAGTTTAACACATCATTTGTTATATTTTCAAATATAGAGGAAAAAAGAAGTCTTAAGCATTAATTGGGGAGTCATTCCTTTTTGGAAAGAAAAATGCTATTCATCCCCAGTTTGTATGAATCCCCAGTCTATGTAGATGTAAATGATTGGTTAAATGATAGGTAATTTCACCTATTATTTAATGTCATATAAACGCCACATAGACTGGGGATACATCCTCAGTGGAGATGAATAACATTTCTCGTTTGGAAAAAATGTGGACAATATTTCTCCATCTTGAAGGGACAAACATATTTATTAATTGTGGTTTTTTATTTGTAAATTGCCATTATCTTGAGGGGACCAACATATTTATGAACATTACATTATTGGTGGGATTTATAGCCTCTTAAAAGCCTCATGTCCCTCGACTCGATCCAAAATAAAATCGTGTATATGTATTCATATATGTAAATATGATGGCCAAAAAAAAAAAATCAATGTCAATAAGTACCCATTTTACGAGTCTTTTTTTGTGTTATAAAATTAATAACTAAAACATCCAAATTCTATTGCAAATCAACAGTTATTTTTACTCATTTTAGTGTAATAACTAAATTAAAGCGATTGGATTTAAACTAAAAAGGAAAAGATTTTTGTTTTTTTTTTCGTTGTAACCAGCATAGTAGGCGAGACATCATTAGTCGAAATTCTGAGAAAAAGGAGCTTTAACTGATAGCTGAATAAATGGATCAAAAGATGAAAGCTCAATTAATTTACAAGGTTACAATGCCAGCAATATGTGCAAGATGCTGGAGTAGGAAGCAA